TAATTGGTTTAATTAAATCATTAAGATCACAGATTAAATGAAAACCAGAGCACCAGAGGTGTGTCCATCATGAACTAGGCATCCCTGAGCATCCCTGCTTAAATGCTTCTACATTATATTTTACAACCTGTTTTGTAATACTGAAAAATGTTAGCAACCGAAATGGAGTTTCAGAGCTGTGTTATTGCTCTTTGATCTTCCCTTAGCCTTCAGCTCTTAGAAACCTTTACATTCTTTTGCTCATTATTAGTTTGACAGGTGACTGGTGAACAAAGGCACGCATCTGATCGTTCTCGCAGGGTGGCGGTACGACCACGACAGGGTTAACAAGTATTTGCCACTGGCTCAGTGAGCGAACCTGTTCTTAACACCCCTCAGCTCTGTTCTTCACACACTCCATTGTGCTGTAATAGAGATTTACTCAGCCAGCACTAACAGAGGGAGAGGTGGGGAGGCAGGGGGAGAGAGGATGTTGCATTATTCATTCTGGAGGGATAGTGCAGAGAATGAGGGATCAGCCAGGAATTGCGCAGGCAGAGAGGAGGAACGGAAAAAGAGGAGAGGTGCTATGAGCACAAGAAAAAAAAACATTTATTCAGTAAAACAAAATGAAAGTGCAAGACAGCTGCAACACGAGCAAGGAAAAAAAAAGGTGAAATGGTGACAGGTGAAAGAAAAACAAGAGGAAGAAGGTGAAAGGATAAAAAGGTAGATATCAGCCAAAGAGAGAAGGTGGGAGGAGAGAGAGGTGTATGTGGAGAGGGATGTGTTGCAGCTCAGCGTGGCACTGCAGTAAGAAAGGGGAACAGAGATGCAGAACTATCCCTTACAGCTCAATAAATATTAATGTTTGACTCTGCAGCGATACGCTGTTAGAGAGGTTGTATGGAGGCTACAAGGCAGGACTTAAAGAACTCTCTGCGGCTCTCTGCAGTTGTGAAAGTATGAAGGATGTTGCATACTGAAATCAATGGCACATCGCCTCCCACGTCCTTGTGATAACTCAGATCCTAGTCACAAGGGGTTTATTTGTTTAATGCAGTTCTTTCTGTTAACAAAGGGACTAACAACACTATATCACCCACTGTTTAGGCTACCCAGTGCATTTCAATAAATTGTGTGTACCACAATGCATGCTTTTGTAAATGTGCCTTTGTAAAATATGTAGTGTATTAATAAATATTAAAATCCTTCCCAGGCTAGAGAAAGTACATTTAAATTTCTGTCTTGCAGTAACAGTACTCCCCACCTAGAGGGCATCCATCCAGACAGTTTTTCCAATATATACTGTGGGCTGCATCATGAGATACTGTACCTTTTATTAATCCTGGCTTTTTTAATGAATAATTCACTTATAAACTCACTTTTGATGTTTGTGGTATGCTCTCTACACTGCTGGGAAGTATCTTTACTTTTAGACAGTATGTGATAAATGAAAGCTATTCATGATTTACTTCTATATGAAGGAAGCTTATGCTGTATTATTGTATGGTAGGCTTGGTTCTGATCATCCATGGAATTATAGGACAATCCTGGACAAGGAGGTATAAAAAGAGATCCCACAGTTGGCTTTGTGTACAAATACTCTCTGGTATCAATAAAGGTTGCCCTGATGGTGCCATCTCCGTGGTGTTAGAGCACCAATAACCTTCCATATTGATACTCCGTTTGTTGTCAACTCTAGCGCCACTGTTACAGACACTGGCAACACTCCCCTGCTTGATCTGCACCGGGCCAGCGAGCTCTGTGATGCAACAGTCCGAAACTCCCAGTCAGCACCAAGTGACAAGAGACAGATAGCCACTTCATTCCTCTTGCTTCTCCTGTTCTCACATTCACAGCAGAGTATGGATCACAGTGAGTATGGATCTCAATCCATACTCACAGAGTATGGATTGAGATCCCTTGGAACTAAATTCTTGGCTCAAATGTATATAACATGGGTATGGGTGGGATAAATAGATTAAAATATTTGATAACATGTTGTATTGAATGAGGGTAAAAAACACCATCTTAACCACACAACACAATACAACAACATGCATAATCCTGCACAACTGTTTGTCCAGACAAGCAATCATTTGCAGCAGTTTGTCATGTTATATTTTTTTCTTTTCAAATCTCCTTTTCCCTGCTCTTCCTCTCGGCTGTTTGCAGTTTATCCATGTACTTGCTATGTGATCCTCTTTTTCTTTGTGCACCAAACTCAAGACTACTCTATTTCTGTACTATTCCTATCGCTCCTTATTTTGCTCTTCTAATATTCCCTTGCTTCCATGTGATGCTTTCCCCTAATCTTCCTATGACTATACTCCAGCTTTAAAACTATACCCTACCCTATACACTACCCTCGCCTCTCCTTAATGTCACAATCTTTCTAATTTATTCTCCATATTCGCCCTCCATGCTCTGTTTACTCTCCCTGGTACAGACATAAAACATTCAAATCATCTTTCCTTCTGCTAAGCTAAAAGACAGAGATACTGTACACACTGCAATCCCTGTGCCACACTATAAAAGTGCTGGAGAATGTTTCCACTTGACAAGAAACAGCGATCTTTTCCATATTAGTCTGTTGATACATTAACATGCAGGAAAGCAGCCCTGTCTGCCAATCTTTTTGTTCATCCTCAGTGCTGACCCAGCCTATATCACAGAGACATTTTCACCACTATTGTTGTTTACTCCTTGCCCTTTCTGTCAATGCAGTAGCGCAGTACTGGAAAAAGTGCTATCACATGAATATTATAGATTATAGTCAGGAGGCAGTGTTCAGGAATTGTGTGGGTGTTTACCAAGGCTTATTGATATGATTAAATGTCATTGTAACAGTTAAGGTGAGAACTTTGTGTGGGTGCAATAAAGGTTTCATGTCAGATTGACTGCTGCAGCATCTTGGGAATTATAGATAGGTGAGTTTTTTGAAGGGTCTTATTTAAGAGAAATAAAAGCAAATGGCTTTTTAAAGAGGTATTTTTAACAACCCTGCAAAATTTGAACACTGTAAACCTCCATTAAAATGGGAATTTTAAAAGGAACCACATCTTCATTCTGCCGTGGGCAAACGTTCTGCAAAAACTGATCATTAGAGTAACTGTAACAAATAATGTTCTGCTTCATAAGGACAAAAAAGGTACAGTAACACAACCTTTTGAGGAAGATTCTGTTTTTTAAAAGTGAAAACTATCTTCTTCGAACGTTTATGCATACCTGAACATATAATGGAACATGTGTTTCTCATTGAAAACATAAGTTTACAAAATTCAAAATGGAAGAGGGATAAAAACAAAATTAGAGAAGATTGAGAAATATGAAATAAAAAGCTGTTGTATGTCTCTAATAATGCGAACTATACCCTGCAATGTAGTAAATAACATTGATACTGTATATTGATGTACAGGTATATTGAATCTGCTTGTGTCAGTGATCAGGTTATATTTTTATAGATTCATTATGTAACATTGTATCCTGATTTATTTTTGTTGTCAAGGTATTGTGTTTACTTTTATATTCTGGCTATCGATCTATCCTGTAAAATGACCCAAATAGGAGTCCTGCAGTCCAGCTTCAGTCAATAAGTTCCCTGTCTATGTTACTACATTTCCAGTAGCCCACTTAAAAACTCTGCTCCTCTCTAAAGTACCAAGACACCCGCCCTCCCAGAAAAAAAACAGAAAGCTCTTTTCTGCTGTTGTAAACCCCGGAGTAGGCACAATCTGATCTGCTTGCTTCTTGTCCTTCACAAGATGCAGTTGCTAACAGGCGAAACATAATATTTATCAATTGCAAGATCTCCCTGAACAGCCTAATGTTGTGTTTTACAGTTCCACTGGAAGCAGGTGATCAGTAAAGGCTCTGTACTGCTTCTTCATGTTCCACAGCTACCAAAAGGAGGAGGTCTGCTGCTATTCTGTCCTGAATGTGTAACAGTATTGTTATCAATGTACAAAAAACATGATCTCCTCCATGATAGATCTTCTTAGTCTTCAACTGGAACTGGCTTCTGGCATCTTTCCCTTACCACTGTTTGAGAAGATACAGTCTGCTCTATTAACTTAACTTTTAGCCCTCGCCTGTTCCTTCAATGTTCCCTCACAGGCTGTTTCTGTTGTGTTTAAAATAATTTACCTAACTACCTGGGGTTGAACAACAGGGCATAGCATATGGCTATAGAATCAGATTATGTTTCATGGTGATGTAGGCTGGATATCTGAGTATTAGCTGGACATCTCGCACTTGACAGGTAAGAATGCTGAGCATTGAAGGTTAGCAGACTGGGACAAGAACTGCCCCTCTGCCAAACAGAACCACAGCTTCCATTCATAGATTTCACAGATCTATAGCAAAATCCATACATTCAGTCTTGCTTTCAGTCTGGAGGACAGACAGACAGGACTAACAACACATCATGACATGTTTGCAAAAATCATGATGTAGTGTTGCATCTGTGACTCTAGACAGTGCATTTGAGCAAGTACTTAAAACAGTGATGTTTAAAACTGATAGAAAAAACTGATGCATTATATGATTTAATTAAACTTGACCGGACTTTAAGTGTTCCATCTGAGGGATGATCAACAAGCACTGCATTAATGACTTTTTTAATAATATTGATTGTGAATATCTCCACACATTCCTAATGAAATTAGTGACAATTTAAATTATGCTGGAAAGCAGATCTAGGCCGAACTGGATTTTACCAATATTTGTATCATATGATACATTCACTGGAAATGCAGGAAATTAACAAAAAATGAACTTCATTGTTGCCTTTATTCTGGAAGTTACGTTAAAACCTTTTATGCACTGAAATCAATGGATGTTCATCACGCTGGCAAATAAAAATGTTTAATCCAATATGTGAAGTTGTAAGAGTGTGTGATTTAATTGGTGTTATACTGTAGTTCAGTACACAAAAAGCTTGATATTTTTCATTTACTCTTATAAAATGAACTACCATCCTGTGGACACGTCAAACCCCTTGGCCTGGGGAAACTAACCTCTGACCTCTGCGGAGAACTGTGCTGAGTGCCGTGTCACAAATTGCTGCAGCTGCTGGTCAAGGTCACAGGAAGTGAGGTCGATATCCCATGACCGAATTCCTGTCAAAAGAACAAGGACAATCAGTAAAGCAGGAGACAGAGAAAAAAAATATTTTACACTATGGAAAACACAAAACTTTCCATAGTGTAAAATAACCGGCTATCTGTAGTAATAAAAGAGAGACCTTTCTATCTTGGGTTGTGTCTGCCTTTGGAAATCTCTGAAGAATTAGGGACATGAACACCCTGCATTGACAAGCTTCTTCTGATCAATCATTTTGTCTGACAGAACATACACAGGTAAGAGCTGGATATTAAAATGAGATGAGCAAGACTGGAAGATCTTCTTATCACTAGGCAGGTGCCTTAGAAGGCTATACAGAGGCAGCATGAAAACTGGAGTTTTCTCAGAATAACAAGTAATTCTCTGCAAAAATTGAAGCCCATCTCCATAGTTAGAAGGTGACATGTTGGATTAATTCAGTGAAGCAGCCCTGCTGTCAGGTTTCATTATAGAGCAGGCACACAGTAATGAGAGGACCCTTTGCCACTGCAATCTCACTTTCGTACTGTTCTGTAATTTTCCACACAGCTCATACTTATTGAGAGGCATAACACAGAGCTTGAATGTCATACTTATAAAGGTTTGTAATATGTTTCACCATAGTGCATACTTTTACCACAATTTCACTTTGCTTTAGCGTGGATGACCATAGTAAACATTTGCCTAGTGGTTTAATGTTCAACAACAATCAGGAATTCTTTTCATTCTTCCCCCTTGCATTTCTTATTTAACATGTTGGTTTTGCTTTCAAGTTATTATACCGTGCAGAACCAAGTTCCCTGATTTCCAAACTATAACGCTTTCCAGTCATCATTTCATTTTTTCTTAGTGTTACTACAGCTAATAGTGACTGGCTATTTTGTAACTGATTGACTGATGAAGGTCACCATCCTGCCATGTCAGAAGGAAGAAGACTAATTTCCACCAACACAACCAGGATGTGAAATGCAATAGCACATCCTGCCACAGGTGTACAGCAGGTTGAGCCAAATGAACTCTCCAGTGTCCTTGATGTCTTCACGGCTCTTTTAAGCCCTGATGGACAGTCTCTTTAATGCTGAGTAATGCTTTCAAAATTCTTCAAAAATGTTTGCAGTGAAAAACACATTAAAATCCAACGCATACAAAATGGTCACAGACACCACAAACCTTCCTTACAGCTCATTCACCACTAAGCTACTCAAATGAATGTTACAGTGGATCAAGGGTAAATAAAGATCTACTGTATTTTAAAAGGTCATCGCTCATAATGCTTTACAATATAAAAGAGAATGCAATCACACCTGCATTCATGCTGTTTCAGACACACACACTGTCTCTCTGGCTCTATCTGAGCATGTCCGCTGCTGTCTCACTGCGGTTAGCAGCTGCATGTCCTGTTCCTGTCTGATTTGCTCGGGGTGCAGAGCTCATTAAAGCTCCCTGGCTTTCTCAGAGTGGGATGATCTGCAATGGGAAAATGGTGCCTACCTCCCTCCAGCCCACTGCTTTCCCACAGAGTTTTAACAGCACTTGAAAGGGAATAACAAATGCTGAAATTTCCAAGGATCCCAGCAGAACCTGGTATAAACAATTCTGAGACTATTCAGCAGTTTTTGTCATATTTGTCATAGATCTTTCTTACACGGTAGAATAGGAACTGGGCAGAGACAGAATGGCTACCACGTGCAAAGCCATTGAACTACGTAGGCTTCTTTAATCTAATCTAAACATAAGCTTTAGCCAATGCTTGTATCCTAAATAGCCCATCTTTCAACTTTAATGGCTAGCCTTAAAACCACTGTAAACTCCAAATCAGAGGCATATCATTAGCACCCTGATACCCTTTTATTGTTGTCTGGCAAGCAAGTATTTTCTTTTGTAAAAACATATCTCAAGCACTCTCAAATATACAGATATAAAGACCTTTGTTACAAAATGGGTTTTGCATAAATAAAACTCAGCAATCATAAGGTACTTTATGATTAAGGTACCAAAGACACTGTGTGTACCAGCTATGCAGTTTTATTCATCATTAATCTCTGGTGCAACATATTTAATTTTGATTGGTTTTCAATGAACGCATTTCTTATTGGCTGCCTGTCAAAGCATGGCACACGTTTGCGCAGTAAGAGGCCATGAATGTTTATCAGAATGCAGCACAGTGAGCTGTGACTGTGACGAAAAGAGAGAGAAAGAAATCATTGTCTTCATTACAATGTCAAGGGCATTCTCTCACAGCTGCCACTGTGCATGGGGAGCTATCACTGACTCAATGACGCCTCCGAATCTCATCGTATTTCATTGTAACTCAATTTGCGTCCCATGCGTTTGGTCTATAAATCTATATCCACACGCTGGCTGGAGATCATTTGTTGACAACAGCCTTTTCTGGTCCCTATTAAGAATCTATTGTAAATCAGTATGTATGAGTCACAATTCCCAAACTGGTTAGAAAACTTTAAACAGATGTCTGAAAAACAGGAAATTGCAAAGAAAATTATAAGACTCCATCCATGCATTTTCAGTATTTGTGGATGAAAAACCTAAATATTTATTGAGAAGACTTTCTTGGATGCCCTCTTTGGACATCTATGTGATAATGCTATATTTGTGCTATATTTGCTGTTCTGACATAACAAATTGCATTTTCAGTTCAAATTCCATTACACATCAGATCTCATTCTTACTGTGAAAACTAACCTACTGTATAGACACCTAAAGAAAGTGAAATAGTGTTGTTTAGAATGATGTGCAACTATTCCACATATTTGCAAACTATTATTTTGTTGGATCTCTTTTTAATTGGGAATATCCTAGAATCCATAAGCTTTGGTGCAGATGATTAAGCTATAGTGAATCCTGGAATGGATTAAACTACATGCAAAGGGAATCTTATCTGCTACACTAAGTCCTAATGTGATCAGAAAGTATTATCTGCACACTGTTGCACCCTGCTTGCTGTAAGAGGTTGATGTTTAGAGACCATGAGCCTGACCACCTGGTGTCTGTGGTGTTTCCAAGCTGACGTTTGTGTTTGTTTCTTCGCATAAACAACAGTTCCATCCTTAGGTAGTGCAGATGCTTATGAATATTTGCTCCAGTATACAATGGTAAAAGTAGGACAAAAAAAATTAACCTTCATTGAAACCATTTAAAAAGCATGCTGGTGAAGAATAAAGCAAGGTAAAGCGTATAAAAATGACATTTCCACACCTCAGGTCTTGGGCTTCTCGGGCAGTGAGCTGTAACCTACCATAAGTCTACATGGTATGGAGGTGCAGGGATGCACAGGTTGATGTTGTGCACAGGGTTTGGGCTGAGTGCTGGCTGTGTCAGACAGCCAGTAATCTCATGCTTTGTTAGGAAGAATGGCTGCCTCTGTCAGGACAGATGTCTCTCAGGAGAGGAGTCAGTCCTGCTACCACAGCGGGAGGCCTCTGGTAATTCTCTGGGCCCTAATCTTTGCTTCCTGGTGGGTGGGAAGAACTTTAAGGTTTCATCAAAAAAGAAAACACAGTCACCTTAGTTCTTTCTTTCATAGTTATGACCTGGATAAAGGCACAATTCGTATGAGAGTTTTTGAAATTCCTGAGGAAAGGAGTATTATAGGCTGAAAAGCAAAACCAGGGGCAAAACTAAAAATGATAAGGGTTCATATCTGATTTAAGATTAATTGATATTTCACAGAAGTTTAATCTTGATAGAATTATCTTAATGCAGGCTGGGCAAATACAGCTGGATATGGAGCCAGCACTTTTACTTAACGCATTAAACCAGCTTGAAAGTGACAAATGGATTTATTGGCTGTAACTGTTTTTTATGTCTGATTAGTGGGAATAATACTTCACATTTTATCTTACTTGACCTGGATTGAGCTCTGACTTTGCCTCTACATTATAAACCCCTTTTTGAAAGATAAACAGGTATTAGCTCAATCTTTTGATTACTGGTATGCCCGAGGACTGTGAGGATATAAAGCTGTGTTTGCGCTGGCATAGATGAATCCATTGTTGTTGTTGTTTGTCATTGGCACAGCCGTCACGCTGTAAATTACAGGGCGCCAGTCTGAGTGCTTCCAAGTAGTTTGTGGGAGTGAGGCTGATGCCAGAACAGTGATCCATCACCCTGAGGCTCCTGGCATGGCGAGGTACGCAGTGAAGGCAGAATTGCATACAGAGAGGTTTCTGTCCCTCAGCAATTGTGTGACAAACACAGCAACCCTACCACGGCACTGCCCATCTGCCTCAGGCACCACTGCAGAGACTGGAGACTGCCGCAGAGCAAAAGTCATGCCACCGTGTTTATAAGACAACACCACCGGCATCCACACCACGGCACAGTTTACCTGCCTTCTAACCATTTCTTCCTGTCTTTACACTTTCTCCTCCCTCCCAGGTAATTCCTGCTAAAGAAATTCCATAACAAAATCTTTACGGAGCATTCTCCTGGGGCAATAAATCACACAGATGCCTGAAGGTCAAATATATTGCAGTTGTTATTCATACAACTTCAAGACAGGACCACGTTTTCCAAATTGGAATTGCAAACTACACCATAAATAGCTTGAATTTGTTATAAATCTAATCTACCTGTCTATATTTATTTACTCATATCAAATGAGCCCTTTATATTGATTGAAGATCTTCCTGATTACAAATAAAGTACCGAGGCCTTGAAGATTGGACTTTCTTGCTTATCACTATCCAGGCACCAAGAAGCTTACTATAAATCATAGAAATGTTCTGGAAACTTAACTGTCTCGAGTTCACAACCGTTAAAAAGAGGAATTGATCTTATTATATATTTTGGTATCATAGCCATTTCTCTTGCGTGAATGTCTTTCTATTGTGCACAGTTTAAGGTGTCTCTGATCCCCATATTAACAGAAATACTAAGCTTTTCATCATTTAGTAATTAAACATTACTATTGCTTTGCTTTAATTAGTGTTATATATTATAATATATTGCAGAGGTTATGTTGATATTACTACTTTTATACAGCTTTTATAAAAACTATTTTTCTTTCTTTAATTCATCCCATTGTTTTTGTTTTGCATTGTTAGGTTTTTCAACCTCTAAAACACTTATAGAGTTCTACAGAACGTTATAAAAAGATTCAAGCTGCAAACTAAAGGTATTTCTAGAAACACAGAGCTTTCTGCAACAGAGACACTGGAACAGGAATCGCTAAATTGTTGATAATATTATAAAATGTGTTAATCAGTGCCATTTATCAACGTTCTTAGCAATGTTTCTATTTTTTATCCTATATTTATTCTATTTTGTTTAAATAATAACACCTGGTGCTACAACTATAATGAATTAAATTATGTTTGAAAAATTAACACAAATATTTGGTTCTCCATACTGTAAAATAAAATGCTGTTTCTGTCAGACAATAGCAAGACCTATAAATAACGAGTCATTTATTTACTGTAACCAGTGTATGCAATCACAAATTATTGTAAATACTATAAGAAGCACTTTATTTGGATGTCTTAAAATAATGATTTTCATTTGTACGCTGTGTTTTGAAAATCTGGGAATTTCATAAATTGACTCTATATTCCTTGAGTGATTTTTACAGCATCGTCGTACAGACAACAGTGAGGCCTGTGTGTTGACCTTACAAAGAAACAAAGACTGCATGTTTCAAATGAAGTGTCAATGCCCCGCTGGTACCAATAATGTTTGTACATTAATTAAAAGGTTTTTTTTTTTTCGTTTTACTTAAGTTCCTTAAGTTTTTAAGTTAAATTAAGTTTCCTGTTTGCATGCCAAAACTGTTGTTATGTGTTGTTGAATGTAGGCCTACAATACAGTGTTGCTTTACACTGCCAATAGTGCTTTTTTTCTGATGATATGCGATTCAGACTTGAATATTTATCATTCTAATGTTGCTTTAGGTGAGTTCTTGCATGACTTACATCTGCTGAAATGAACTCAGAAACCTATTCAGTGTAAACCTTCTGCAGAAGAAAAATAGTAAGGGCATCATATTTTATTATATAAATAACAGACAATATACTGTATACATAATAGACTTACCAAGCAAAGCAGGGACATACAGTATGTCACTAGGCTCTCATATTTTCCTATTATAGGAAACTTGCGTTTCCGTTGTCTCGACTTTCGTTTCTCATGTTTTCGTTCTTTTTTTCCCTGCTTTTTAAGTGGATTGTTTGGTAAAAGCCGGAAAGCCTTTATGAGCGGTGAAATGTAAATGAGCATGGAGTCAGTGGAACCCTCCCCATCCTTAAACATTTCATCACTCCAAACAGTGCAAAGTGGACTGCTGCCTCTCCGCAATATTATATAAATATAAATATTTTTTTATATATTTCTGCTGTCAGCGGTATTATTTGTTTATTAAGCACTGGGCCTTTAGGGATTGTTTCTCGGCCTTTGAATTTTTTCGACTGACGGCTGGCGTCGCAATGTGAATTGGTTATGAAGTCTGCGCAGGGATATCAGCTCCCTTGCTCTGCGATGTTTTCCTCCACACCGAAAGCAGAACTGAAGAACTGGAGGCAGAACTGGGGAACTTTTCGGTGCCTTACGAAGTATTTTAAATCGTTTCTGCTTCACGTGAATTCATCCTAACGGATGCGTCATTGGCATTTTGTTTACCCGTTTGTAAGCGTTGTTTTTATCCGTGATCTCGTGAGAATGTTAAGGTAGTGGAATCGTCTGGTTACCTATGTCCTCAGTCTTGCTGTATATCAAATCCAGACGTTGCTAGCAGTCCTGACCGGTGGTATTACGGTTTGGAAAGGTGGAGCCACAGTACAGGACGGAATAGCCATACAGAGGGTTGTGAGGTCCGCGCAGAAAATCACTGGGACCGAGCTACCCTCCATCGACCGGATATATCTCGACCGCTGCCACAACCGAGCTTGAGCTACTGTATACTTCGGGACCCAGTTCACCCTGGCCACGGTCTGTTTTCACCCCTGGGTTCTGGTAGGAGGTATCGCAGTATCAGAACACTGACCAATAGATTCAAAAACAGTTTCCTTCCCCAAGCAGTCCGTATCATAAACAGCTCAAATTACCACCTGCGCTTTTAGGTACTGCACTGTTTGCACTATGTCCTGTCTTGGCTGTATTATAACGTCTGTTGTCTAAATTTATTGTCCATGTCTGTTTGTCATGTCTGCCTGTTTTTCCTTCTCTACTGTTACTGGGTACAGCTGAACGAGTAAGTATTCCAATACACTTGTTGTATATGGCAAATAAAAAATCTTGAATCTTGAAGACAGTTTGATTTACAGTTTGGAAACAATCGGGAATGTTAGAAATGAATTAACTTTCTGGAGATTCTGCCTCTACAGGGCTAACAGGGTTGGGCTGTATTAAATAAGTTATTATTGCATTACATTTTCTTTTTTAAAAAAACAAGGCGTGATATGGTAGACCAGGATAAAATATGGCCTTTTTTTTCCAATTGCTTAGAATCTGTCGGAATTCAGAAAACCCTGGAGACTTCACTGACTTGAGTTTCTCTTGTTTCTTCTGCACCAGATGCCTAAACCAGCTAAACTTAGCCCTCTCTCATCATTGCAAAAACTTGAACTTGGTGAAAGTTAGACTTTATAACCCAAGGATCTGCCTTCACGTGTTCCCTCGGCTAACGTTGCGTCAACTTGATTCTTCTTCCTGGTATGTTTTGCAGCCCCGACACCCTTTCCAGCACACTTGCGCATAGAGCGGTGCAGCGCGATAAAACTCGAGGGCATTCCTGCAGACTCACCCAGTTCGGTATGTTCTCTGACGGCTCGGAGCTGGTTTTCTGTCGCGACTTCCCCGATTACGATCAGCATGTAATACTTCCCCTGGCAGAACAGTGACGCCGCTCGCTGCTGCTGTCCTTGGTGCTGAAGCGGCTCCTGCAGCTCCTGGAGTCCCAGATGCGCACCGCTTTCGTCCTTCTCTGCCGCAGCCCGCGCCATCTCCATGGCAACAGCACCTAGAGCCGACGCCGGCCCCTCTTCCATCTCCATGACAACTGCTGCCACGAGCTCTCCGCGAGACGGAAAACTAGGGGAGGTCCCGGTGGGAGGGGCGCACTGCACATTTAAAGAGCCATTTGCTCGTTTGTGATTGGCTACTGGCGCATGCGGATGTTTGATGTCACGGTCATCCAATAGACGTGCACAGAGGGCGGTTCCTCGTAACACTAGTAAACCCACGTCTTCCAATACAACATATTGATTGCATCCGCGTGTCGTGGTCTGCGCTTAAATGACAAATTTATGACGTTTAGGTTGTAAGGATCAAATTCATCCGCAGTTAGGAATTGGAGCAATTTATGCTAACTCAAATCAACCAAATTTTGTTATTCATATTCTAATTTTATTCCTGTAACCCTAGCTTGCTGCCCATGGATCTTTCGAAATGATTTGTTCCCGTAAAATTGTTTTTGTTCAATGTAAAATGTTATTTCCTCTCAAATCACTTTAGATAAACCACTCTTAATGCGAGGATTCATATATTTTTATTAAGACACTCACGGCGGCACAAATAGAACTATCATATTTAAAGCCATAGAGGCATACACAGTGGGGGAGGTACTGTAAACAAATAACAGCTGTGTCTAGGTTTGCTAAAGGACAGCGCCAGTAGACCATAGAACAGCACTTAAAGAGCCTGGCACACGTTTCCTTTACCCAAAGCGTGACCTTGTAGGCTACAGACCCTCTGTGTCGGGCATCAGAGCTACTGTTGACAGCACACTGTGAGAAATGCTGACACAGCTCTCGAAATACGCCAAACTCTCACTCCCAGTAGGGTTATCAGACGGGGCTGTGGCCGGCTTTCATTAGTTCTTGCGCTGGGGTTTATTTAAATTATTTTTTAAACAACCCCTGACAGTGTTGGAGAGATCGTTTTCATTATCCGTGTTGCTGATGTCAGCTCTGTGCCTTTACTTCAATCTGTTTCTGTTTATGCGGGTGTCGGTAAGTATGGAATATGTCAGAGACACCTGGGCGGTGCAGAATACACACCGAAATCACGAGGCCTCCGTCTCGCATAAGTAAATACGAGCCGTGTCATCATCTGAGTAGAGGCATCAACGGTCATTTCTCAGAAGATAAAAATAGAAAAATACTTTCACAAGAAGATAAAATTACGTGTAGCTTCAGTATACTTCCGGTTACCTCTTCACGTGGGTATATTCTGCCTCTAACTACAGTATATCCCTTCGAAACAGGTTCTACGTTAATAACTGGCCTCAAAGTCTGTTGTAACACATCTACAATGGCAGCAACCTTAATGACCCCACTTTTAGCTTGGGAAGTGTGGTTCTCAATGTCACACTCTTGGGCCATTGTGACATCCATGATTCATGTTGTTTAATTATTAAGAAGCAATAAATCTCATCCTGAAATCATCTTGTCTCTACTGATGTTAAGTTATTGCAGAGATGAGTCGGCACTCGTTCGGTTCCCCTCATTTGTATTCAACATCTGAAGAGCCTAGAATGTAGACAAACGTTCAGCCAGACTGTTTTACAATGAAGAATGTTCTGAATCACTTTTGCTCTTTTGTTTAAAGGCATGAGGGTCTATGTATACAGCATACACACAAAGCTAGCAACCAACGTGTAACCTGAGTTTAAGCAGTTTTCATCCAAGCGTGTTGTTTGCTACACGGCCGGCAGAGCTTTACTTTCTCAAGGTCAAAGCAAATATACTCAACAAATGTCTCTGGGAAATAAAAAAAAAGATAAAGTGGGAGAAAGAGTGATTATTATTATTGTTGTTGTTTTCAAAATGAGCAGGAGAACAGGAGATATCCCACACATACACTTATTCTCCAGGGAATGACACTGCACTGCAGCAATCAGCTCTATCTGGGCAATAATCCAGAGAGAGAGAGAGAGGAGGGGTGGGGGAAAACAGAATCAGACAGAGAAAGAAACAGAATTATGGACACAGATTGAAGGAAAAAAAGAACAGAGAATAAAGTCAGGAAAGAGAAGGAGAGGCAGGTTAGAAAAGGTAAGGAGAATGGGAGGCACAAGGGGAAGGAGAAAGGGGCTCAGATGAGTTTATCAGATAGCACCACTGTGATCTGAAATGTAACACCATATCAGTATATGTAGTTCTGATCCTTATTTTGCCTGATATCATAGTTAATATCACGGTCCGAATGATATTAACTTTAAGTACTTTATTCTCCAGCAAATCCAAACAGGGTGAAGCATTTTCTTTTGGAAAAGGATAATTATACAGTAATGGTTAGATATGACTAAATGCCATTTTAATGATGTTTCTACTATGATATGCTGCACTGGTTGTGCAACTGATTCTGCTCCATTGCAGTTCACTGTATCTGTGTATTAAATTAGTTCTATATCCCTTTCTGCAGAAGAGCATTGAATTCTGAGAGCTCATGCCCAGGGTGGAAAGCAGATATTCACTTCTAAAGACAGTAACTTACACAGTGACACACATTGTATGCAATGTGCATGTAACAGTGATATGTTATAACTCAAAATGCAAATGGGGAGTCTCTTCAGTAAAGTAAAAGGGATTGTTTGAAAATCATGCCTGTATCGTAATAGATCAGCTGGAATCTTCTGTCCTGCTTCCGAAAAGCTGATTCATTGGCTGCCTAGGAAAGGGGCCGAGCCGGCTTCAGGAATGAGCGGCTTCCCAGCCGGCTATGACCTCTCCTGCCTGCGCTGCTTCCTGTATTTCTCCCAGGTGTCCCTGCTGGCCTCAGTGAGTCAGCACTTCAGCAGCACAGCGCGCCGCATTTTAGCATTTCCTTAACAAGACCCTCTACTGCTCCCTACTGGCGAGATACACACGCGCTGATGTGATTCATTTGAGGAAATTCCGAGGTTTATTTTTATTAGTAGTAGGAGAAGTAAAAGCAGTAGTGGTGAATTAATAGGCATTATGTTACTTGCAAGAAAACTAATATAATTGCATTGTAAAGCATTTGCAGAATAAGAGCTAGGTTCTTGTATGTCTCTGAGTATTTTTTCTGTACTGGGTATGAAGGCAGTACAAAGCTTGGGGTTAGGTTTAAATGATTTAGGATGGACAATAAACATAAGGCTTGTACTCTTTTTGAAAACAAAATGCATACAGGGAATGCTTTCTTATTTTTCTTTACCAGAAATGAATGTATCTTTCTCAGTGTAGAGCTGATATGTAAAGGCAAACCAGACATGATTTTCAGCAGTCCAAATGCAAATAAGTGCTAAGTGAAGTTATTTGATCAGTTTCCTTGGAAATCTAAAATGTTTCTAGCTAATTGTGCTGCATGAATTTCGTTCTCCTTGAAGCAGAAGCATCCCATGCAGGAATGAAAGCCTTACCTGGCCAATTGAAAATGTGCATTGTGCATAAATGCCTATTAGTTTATTTTTGAAGGAAGAAGCATTCCCCCCAAAGCGTTCAGGTGGTGGTTTGAGAAACAACACATCCGACTGTTATTATAGTTTTTAACTTACTGGGAAACAGTCACTTGACACGATACAGTAGTTCCTCCATGAGGTTACACCCCTACAGAAATTGAAAAAAAAGGAAAAAGATTCCTTCCCTATAACATTCGCCTGAGGTTACAAGCAGTTGAACAAGTAATAAGCAGTTTCTTTACTTTAGAGATTAAGACATGCACATTCCTGCAGTCAAACAGTTTTATATGTCTTGTCAGTGTTTTGTTAATGAGTCCCATAGCATGTAACTAATAACCTAAAATAATTGTAGTAGGCTTGTATGACAATATACTGTACTACTGCTCTGCTATAAATAGCTCCCTTAGAAATGACACAGCTGTCAGTGTAGCTGTTTGTGACAGCTGCTTAAATCTGATCCTGCAAGCAGGTCTTAAGAATGTAATCACATATCCTAGTGTACCCACCTAAGTATGTTAAGTATTTATTGACCATAGATTAGTTTTGCTTCACAGATTACAATTTTTGACATTCAGCCTCACACACTATGTGAAACTACAAATGCAAGAGTGACTTGAAGACCACCCTAAATTGCCACACACAAAAATCATGAACGTGTAACATATAGTTCATACAGTACAGTAAATTGGCATTCAATGTGTAATTTTAGCCAGTTTGGCTTCCTTCCTGGGTAAAGCCTTTCAAGAGATTTTGACTTTCATGTGGTGCAGGAGAGTGTGAATCTACCTTTGTGCGGCTCTCGTGCTGCCTCTCATACCCCGCCCTCTTTCATTGTTTAATGGATGATGAGGAAGCAATATGACTCTCTCACAGTCTCAGCACATCTCCATGGCAACCTTGCAGAGGATATTGGTTCCATATTTTGTACCAGCTCTGCAGAGTGGTGATCAGGGCCATTGGTTTTCATCGCCCATTTCCACTGCCTCCCTTTAAAGAAACAGCACTCCCACACTTTCAAGGACCCACTGCACAGCATCTCTGCAACTGTGTGGCAGCTCATCCTCCACTTCATGGGGCTTTGTTGTGGTTAAGAACCCTGTTAACTACAATATCAGGAATCTATTCTCAGCTGAATGTAGTTTGAGGATACGGACATGTTTATTGGCTCAAAATCTGTCAGATTGTATTTACATTCTGAGATACGTCTGAAGGCCCTGTAAGACATTACCAGCACTATTCAAGATACAGGGAGTTGCAGATCTTTAAGGATGCATGCAGTATCTTCAGTCATGTAGCTTTTTTGTGTTCCTGGGGCTAAAATGTTCAAATGTATAGATCATAAGTTGGATTGTGCAAACATTTAAGTCTTCCATCCACAAGGCACATCACTACACACGTGGGCACAGCTGCTAATGTACTTATAACTCACCAAAAAGATAAGATAAAGATAAACTTTTATTGTCCCTTAGGGGATAATTATTATAAACACATAGCACATCTGTAGCTGTGGGTTAATCAACAAAAAAGAAACAAGTAAAAACAGTGTGGTCCTTAGCTAGCTGTTTTTTTTATCATGTGGACAGACACAAAATGAACACAAAAATGTAAATTTTGCAAACTTCACATTTCTTCGGTAGGAGTATGTTTTTTTCCCACACCAGCACTGGTCTGATCAGCAATTGTGAAATTCAGGTGATAGAGACGAAAGACGGATTTGGGGTAAAAAAAACAAAACCATCTTTCACTCGTCCGTGTTGAAAGGAGCAGCTCAGTCTTGCCTTTGAACAACACATGTACATCACACACAAACATACTTAGGCGCACGCATATACGCGCTCATCAAAAAATGCCATTGCATCTTTAAGTGGCACCCATGTCTCCCACACCCAGCGTTTCTGGTAGAGTTGCAAAGTGCGAGAGAGAAATTGTAAGCGGCGCTGTTAAAGACAGTGGAACCTGGCAGACGAAATTAACACATTGCCAATTTTGGCAAAATCCTCATCAAAAAAAGCATCAATCGAAAAGCAGACATCGCCATTACTAGGTAAGACTGCTATTTCTTAAGCGCTGGTGGTAGGGAAGGGGCTTAAGTGCCAGGAATCGGTCTTTGTCTTTCCCCGGCAGCGTTGTAGAATGTAGTGACATGGGTGATGTGACTACAAGGGCAGGCTCGTTTAACGACGTTTTGACAATTTCTGGTCCCGACGATAACAGCTTATACAAGCGTTCAGCTGCTGTGATTCCTCTCCACCTGGGTCAGGGCTATACGAGGGGTGTTTTTCTTAAATTACCGGTTAATATTAGTAGGGTCCTTGAGTGTGAACTGTTTATATACAGTACTATACGTGGTCTTTTTAATAGCGATTTGTAAGTAACGTTACTGTTTTCTCGTAAGAATTCAACATTATTAATATTAACTTACTTTTGGCCATTATTAAAGTGGTATATCGGCAATGTTCTGAAAGCTAATGCTCATATTAGATCCGTTTGAGTGAAATTTTCAAAATGCCTAACATCTCTCCAGTACCTACTGGTATACAGCAGAAATAGATCAATTTTCCATCAAATGCATGTCCTTTCCATTACCTTGTATCAACAAACAAGTTTGAATCTGAGCACACCTCCGTATCAGTTACTTTGATGGGGACGCAGAGTTGTTATTTTTAAGAAATATAATTTACCTAATGTTGGGCATAAACGCTGTTTTGGGTGAAAGAGGCGTTGATCCAATATCCCCTCTCCTAAATACAGCCTCCCACAGTTGTTGTCACTGATCGGCACACAAAAATAAATGTGTAATATACAGTACAGATGACAGCCACATCAAAAACAGTTTTTGATCTGTCTGTCTATTGTGTTTACTGATGTGCCTATTTTCCGCATGTGGAAATCATTCAATAAATTATATTCCATCTAAATATTTGACATATGATATATTAATTTAAATGTAACTATAGTACAAGCTTTTTTTTTAAAGGACAAAAGGCCATTTAAAAGCTAGAGGATGATGTAGCTCAAATTCTATCTTGGCTTGGGTTCAGATTACATTCAGATTTTGAATCAAACATGTCCTATTAGATTTTGCTGATAAATTACTGGCTATAGCTCTCGATACATTACTGTCTTCTTGCAAATAAATTGTAGTCTCTATCTAACAGCAAGAAGATTTAAAACCCTCCCTCTGAAAACTGTAGTATGGTAATATGACAAGTAAAGTTTAATTCCATACTCAAAAACCAAAAAGAAGAAACACAATGTTTTGACTGTTAAGCCTGCTTTACTGTCAACTTAATTTGAAAAGGTTGTCTGTGGCATAGCTGGAATTTACTGTGGCCATGACAATGATAATGCCATAATTTAATGTACACTGCTCTAGGTACTTCTGCTGTAGTTTAGACTGCTTCATCCTATCAAACTCAGGTCCCACTCCGGGGGAAATTCATTCATGATGAGCCTTGAGGTCTCACATTAATGAACATTATTCTGCATCATTTAATAGCCATAGAGCTTCTGAAAAGGCAAAGAGTTCAGCCACAATTTGTAAAGAAAGAAGACAAAGATTGACTCAAAATCTAAAAGCATGGTTGAAGTATATTTGCAGGTCATAGTGAAAATGCTATTAAGAGAAGCTTCCACTGCACTGCCTCTGTGAATAGTGGAAGGGTTATTGTCTGCTGTTTATCCAGTAACTTTATCTTACATGCAGTAAGAAATTAAAAAAAAAACTTTCATCATAAAATTAAATGTTAGTTTTCTTTTAGTGCAGCATGTGGGAATTATGAATCTCTTTAACTCTCAATATGGTATTTCTAACGCACAAGAAAGGCTGCCTCCCTGCTGCGATTTGTGCTTGCATGTAAGTTGTGAATTTTCCATCCTGTCCTCGCCCCTAGCATTCAGTCAGAGAGCGAACAATTGAAACTGTGTATCATTTGTTACTATGGCAACAGATGCAGGTACTCTGCGATGCTGGAGAGATGGTCCAGATATGCAACTCTATGAGCATAACAGCAATTTACAGCCATTTAACCACCTGCAGACATTTTTCTTCTGAAAGCAGTGACTCCATCAGTCTGCTTAATTGTTTTGCTCAAATTTCTGAGTGAGCTGTTTGCTTTTCAATTATTTTTTATGTGCTGCCTACTGTACTTATTTTTTCAGCCCAACTGATACTTATACCTAAAAAAGTGCTTAGCCATAGTATTGTTTTAGAATATTTGATTAGCAACAGAAAAGAACAACACCAGGAATAAGAATAATCTCATAATAATTTTCATTCCAATGGGCCACAAGCTGTTGTACAAATAGGAGAAGATCCACTTAATTCACTACTGAAGTGATGCTTCATTATGTTTAGTTTACTATTGAGTCATGATTTGTACTTAACCACTATTGTGACTTCCATAGCTATTGACACTCTATAAACAATAGGTAGCTTATCAATAAAACAAGGTTTTGACTTAAAAATCAGCCACAGACAAATGCAAAAAGCCTTGGTACATTTATTATTTTCAGTACTCTTTCCAGTAGATACACAACTCTAATGTCTACTTTTCCCAGAAGCCAGTTAACCCACCAATATGTGTTTGGGCTGTGGGAGAAAACTGTAGTACCCAAAGGAAACCCACACAGACATGGGGAGAACATACAAACTCCATGCAGATAGTACCCCAGATCCAGAATTGAACTCAGAGCCCCAGTGGTGCAAAGCCACAATGCTGACCACTGTGCTGCCCTTGGAATGTTTTTTTTGCTGCTGTTCTATGGCACTCCCTTAAAAACTGGGGTGGAGTTCCCATGGGCAGAGGTCAGAACAAGTCAAACGATTGATCATACGACACTGGTTGTAAAAGCAGAGATGTTAACTCTGGTGTCCTGGCTAAGCCCCACTCTGCTGTTGCAAAGTCTGATGTACCTAAAAGTTCCCCCTTTATTTAATCGGTTTAACATATTTTCACTCCTTACTCCATACAGAGTAGGTATCTGTCAGACACAGAACGGAGATTTTAAATTTCCTCATTAGTTACTCATGAGTGTTACATATTATTTGGAAGCAAAACGTAATGTACTACACAGATTTAAGAAATTGATCTGAATCCCTTAGTTTTGGGCAGCGTGCTAGATTAATCTTACACTTTTTCTCAATAAACAAGTCTTCGCATTTCTACGAAGTGGACGGAAGTGTATTGACACGTGGTGAAGGCTGTATCTCTGTGACTACAGTTACCTCACCTCACTGTGCAAGAAAACGCCTTACTTTTCCACTTGCAACCAATCAGGCAAGGAACAGGGACGGCTTGAACTATGACCTTACGTGTGCGGGCCAATCGGCTCTGTCCCTGGGGTTGTGTGTGCCGCGAAGGAAGAGAAAGGGCAGAGCTGGATGGGGTGGCAGACGTTTTGGGGTTCGGGGAGTTGAGGGGTTACGCGTACCCATTCGAATCAGGTAAGATTGGAAAGAAGAATTTAAGGGTCCGAAGGAAGTATGGAGAAGGATTTATGGCATGGTCGGTAGGAACTTTTCGGTGTCTGATGGTTTAGCACAAAAAAGTCATTGGATCCGGGACTACTCGTACAGTAGTTCAGTACTTTGTCAACAGAGTACAGCAACTGTAATTTTATTGTATCTTTTTTTCCATGCGCATTGCATCATTTATTTGCTTGCATTGAAAGAGGCTACCGCTAACAAAGATCTCACACTAAAGGAAATAAATGATCGTGCTAGAGGTTACACATTTTGCAGGTGATGCAGGAACTGTGGAATTCAATTTGCTTTATGACCGCACGCTCAAGGTTAAGTATAATTGCAAGGAAAGGTTTGCAAAGAACGAATTTGATATTTTGCCCCGTGAGAGTTAAGGCGCAAACCAGCTTGTGTGGACCTTTGTGGTTAAATGAAAGAGTGTATGCTTGTCAACGTAATCTCTCAGCTCTTTTTTCAAACGCTTTAAACTCGTTTTAAAATAAGCAATATTCACAAATACTAAAAATTAAATCTTAAAGATAGCCTAATTTTTTCCCTGAATTGTGAGTCTTCTAATAACTCACGATTGCCCTTCTAATGTAGCAGGATGGATAATTTCAGGAAACATTGCCTGAGATGTTCATGTGTAGCTGCATTGTTGTACGCTGATACCACTGTTTCTGTACTGAAGGAAACGTTAAAAACTAGGGTTGTTGCCCAAACTGCCTCTTGCTGAAGCCACTGAGTCACCAGATGCCTTACACTCATTTTTTAACAGACCTTCTAGATCTATTTCTCCAACAACATCTTGCTCTGATTGTTATCTAATTTAATCTGCACCCTGGGAAAACACCTTGGGCTGTAAATCCTATTTTGACAGTTTTCTAAAGGTTTGGAAATAGAGGTGGCAGAGTCGGGGAAGTTTGATTGATTTGAAGTTCCGGCCCCTGAAGTGAGACTTGGATGTAGTTTGTGTCTCTGCAGCCTGAGCCCATCCCATCTCAATGGAACCAGGGGGCAGCGAGCTGGAGCCCAGCCTCCCCACACAAGACAACCCCTGCCTGATTGTGGAGGACTCCCAGCCCGACAGCGGCGCCCTGGAGGAGGACCCCGAGAGTGGTTATCGAACTCTGCTCGCAAAACGCCTCTCGAACCTGCAGCCGCACGCACACAGCCCAGTTCTGGTGAGTCCCTGAGGGAGAGTGACCACAGATGCTCCCCATATTTGAAAGATGCTGCATACTCAAGTGTGCTCTCCTGGCATTATGCATCCAGTAGTATTTGACCCTAGTAATTCCTTTAGTTTTAAAATGACCTTACCGCACTCCTCAAATGTTGTCATATTTTCTGTTATATCTAAAATACAAAAACTAAATGTCATTGGAGCTGATGTGGTGCAAGTTGTATCATCCATATTATCCTGAAAGAAGTTCAGAAACAATTGAAACTGGGGCATGATATTGATCTCTTGTAACCAATCTTGGAGGGTATATGTTTGAAATGAAGAGACTTCCCACTGAAATGTCCTTGGTTTGGCCTTTTTTTCTTCTCCAAGGAGCTGATCTCTTCTCCACTGGGCGGCAAGGGGTGTGGGGGGGACGGCCAGCAGGAGGGACAGAGTGACGGGCACCCCAGCTCGGGTAGGACTTTCTGGGGAGACCAGGAGCAGATAAGCCTAAGCTAGACAGGAAGATTGGTGAACTGAAGCCTTGGGACTGCCTACACAGTGTCATGCTTCAACTAGTGTTTGAGCACCATTCCATGATAAGGCATTTTACAAAGTTCTTCTCTTGTTGTTGTTTCTTTTAGCCACTGTGGATTCTAACCAGACCCAGAGCTCTGCCCTTGAGGAGCACAGTCAGCTGCTTGTGTGCCCCCTTAAGAGCCCAAAAAGGTATGTGATGAATAATAGTCTTCCGTATAGTTAGAGTAATAATATAGTTAAAACTCCCATATCTCACCAGAAAACACCAAAGGAAGATCACACCTTACACTTAATGAGAATTATTGTTCTGCATTTCTAAATATTCTATACCTGGTTCATGTGCAAGTTGGGTGAAATTAATGCAGTGCCTTTCGTTTATTCATGACATTTTCCAGACATATTCATGCTGGCCTCTCAGTTGTCAGGAATTGGTCATGAAAAGGCTGAGTGTTCTTATTTGAACAGTACAAGGATTTGGGCAGCAGTTACTACAAGGCTGGTAAAAGAAACTTTTCCCTATGACGTAACTCTTTTCCTGCAGCAAGGTCTGTAATGGAGCTTAATAGTGAGCCATTAAATAATTAAACCCTTGCTGTGGAATAGAAAGGATGGCATTGAGAAGCCCTGTTTTGTGCGGAAGGTAGCCGACCTAGGCAGACGGTTGAATTGCTGTGGGTGGGACCGATGTGTATGCTCCTTGCCCAGGGCCCTGGGAACCGTGAACAGTGAGTCTGCTGGAGAGGACGTGGGAGACAGTGCTGACTCCACCACACATTGTGCCCAGTCTGAAGGTACTGTCTGCCTTCACACACCTGACTTCCAAACATGTGATACTATTCAACACAATATGGTATTTCTTACATTACTTGACAAGCTTTGAGACAAAACTGAGTTGCTGATTAGAGAGTGAAAGATCTTAGTGGTGGATACAGATGTTTATTTTTATTCAAGACTTCTGTGCTTCCCAGATTTCAATCATTTTAATATTTTAATTCTGGCACTGTTATTATAAAACAATCTGAAGGATTGTGTGAGCGATTAAAACGTTTCACGGCTTCCTAAAGTTGTGTTATTTGATAAAGCCTAAATTGTTTGAAGGTGGCCGGGTTGGCTCAAAAATAACGGTAAAATAAAACGGTAAATAACATGCAGCTGGTAATAAGGAGGAACAGGCTAAATTGACTATGGAAACAAGGCCCTTTAAAAGTGAAGAAGCTTAAGGAACCATCTGGTATTTAGTGGGCTTAGTTTGGGTTTTGTTGAACTAAAAAAATTAGATATACTGTAATATGCTAAAAAAAACAGCAGAATCATTTCAAATAACGTTCAGGGGCACGGCCTTGCTTATACCTGTATGTGTGTGCAGTAGGAACGTCGCAGTTCGGTCTCCTGGAGTTGTCAGAGAGTCAGGGTCTTGGAGAGGCGCATGAGAGCCGGGAAGAGACAGACACTTCAGGGAGAGTGACTGAGAGCCCTCAAAAGCAGTCTAACCAAGGTGAGTGTTGCACATTGCACTTGATTATTATTGGTTTACTATGTTGCATGGACTGGGATTAGGTTGGAACTTCTAATTTACTGTATATTGCAAAAACTTTGTCTCTGACTCTTCTGTAAACCTTCCAGAAATCAATTTTAGTGATGTTTAATTCATCGTTCAAAACATAAACATAACTGCAGTGCTTGGACCTGCTAGAGGATGGGGCTGGTATTTATCGACTTCTTTTGTTTCCTACAGCCAGGGGGCAGAGTATAACGGGGGAAAACAGCCTGACTCCCCCTGGTCAGGATGACGTTTCGAAAAGGTAACATTTGATGATGTCCTGTAATGATACACGATTAACTGGCATGATCTGGCTTATGCTGGGCTGCTTGCAGTTGATGTAGCAGTTTGTTTAAGGTGTGTGATTCCTGTGCTGCAGGTCAGAGGTGACTTCCAGTTGTACCACTGAGCTGCAGTCCAGGGAAGTGACCAATGAGAAGAAGATGACCTTTCACCACTTCTTGCTGGGGCAGGGGTCAGAGGTGTTCCCGCAGGAGGAGGACTCCCAGCTCTCCACTCAGGAGGATCTCTTTGAGAGGGATGACACAGGTGCACAGGCCTTGACCTGGTCCTCTCATGGACCATGACCATTTCCAGAGAAAAACTACACATTTTGGAATTGAATTCCTGATAGCTTGTTTCGGTTTTCCAATGCACACTCTTGTCTGTTAAAAGACCAAGTTGATTTTTGTTTTGATCCCCCATTGAACTTGCAGACTGTTGATTGCTGTGTGACTCAGAGATTGAGTGCTTTGTCTCTGTGCAGGTTCCACTGTGGATAGCACTGTGGCTGAACCTGAGACCCCCGGGATGCCAGCATCAACCCCTGCAAACAGCCTCCGTCTGTTACACCTCTCCGGCCACACCACCCTAGTCCAGGAGAGCCTCTCCCAGTATGAGTCCCGCTGTGTCCTTCTGCACTGTCTCTTATGATGATAATATTTAAACTGATGATGATAATATTTTTATCATAGGACAGTTATTATTCCCTTATCATCATTGGGGTAAATTATACACGTCTTATTTAACAATGTAATTAACAATTAACAATGTAATTTAAACAAAGAACAAAATAGTTGCTTAGTCACAACCTGAGGCATTCAATATAGTCGTGCAGATACGTTATTCTATGAATGATATTGTTAAAACAAAAGAATTGTGAAGGATTTTAAGAAATAACATTTTTTTTCCCTAGAGGGGTGGGTTGACATTTAGATATTTAAATCATTGCTTGCATTTCCCCTTAGGAACTCAGTTGAATTTGTGGCCCCTTCTCAGGACAATTTTGGCCCAACACCCATTATTGTGCCCAACTCGCCCACAGAGCAGGAAGATGAACCAGGTAATTTTTAGTGCTTTAGGAATAAGCAGTTTCCCATTTATGGTTCTTTTCAGTTGCTTCTGCCAGTTGTAGTTCTTTTTTAATGACAGGTCACTTTCGGTTAAGTGATTCTGTTATTTTTGCTTGCTTGGTTTGTGTTTAGGTGATGATGAACCCATGGATACTTCTGTTTCTCCTGATGAAGCTGAACAACCACAGAAGAAAGAAGAAGAGCCAATGGAAACGGACCAACTCCCCACTGAGTCCTTCCATGCCCACCCAGATCCCATAAGTTCATCTCCAAAGTCTCGTAATTCCCCTGCTTTGGTGCTGGAGAAAACTCTCCCTGTGCCATCCCAGCCTGAATTCTCACATGTATGTATATACACTTATACACGCATATACCTGCATGAGTGCACAAAGTCAGTCTGACTAAAGTATTTTAAGTTAAAAGTAAAATGTACATAGTTAGAATTTCTGTAAAATGGGCCAGATGAAACAGTTTTTTTCTGAAAAAATGAAGCACAAAAGGAATTTGAGTCTGTAACCTAGTTTTTTGAAACTTGTGAAGTGCAGACAAATTTTGTTTGGTATTCTGTCATTCTTAAGTAGGGGAGTGATCTGTTGGTTATTTTTGCTGGTGGTTTGTTTCCTTGCAAGCCCATTTAATGCTGCCAGACTATACTGTCTCTGTGGCCCTCAGTCCCTCAGTACATTGTGTCTCATTATTTCTGCAGGATATATTTGTCCCAACTCCAAGCCTGGAGGCTAGTAGCAGCAGTGTGGCAGAGAGCGGCAATAAGGAGGTGCCTCCCAAGGATAGCCCCTTAAGGCCCCTGGAGACGGGGTCTTCTAAAGACACTCAGGCAGAGCCCAGTAGACAGGAGCAGCACAAAGCAAATCCCTGCCAGTCAGGTCCCAGCGTACCAGAGGAGTCATTCCGATTAGAGCTTTCTACAAACAGTGAGGGCAGCAGTCTTTTCCAGAAAACGCAAGGAAAGGAGGAGGAGGATGACAGTGAATTAACACAAATAGAGGAGCTGGGTGACAGTGCAGGAGCCGCTACTAATGACCCCTCAGTCACGCCTGCAAGCCAAACAAAGGAGAAAGACATGGGAAATGCTACCGGCACTCTGCAGCCAAATGAAAGTAGTTTATTAAACGTTTCTGAGGGGCCCAAGGCGATAAAGGATAGCTCCATCGAGCAAACTGCTAAAGACTCGTACCCGTCCGAGAATGCTAAAGCTGAGAAATTTGCAGACGAGGACAACAATGTGTCAGATGTTTCCAATGCATCGGTCACTGGCTCGGCCACAGACATGCAGAGAGCATCAGAAGCAACAGCCTTGACAAAACCAAGTAGCTTGCAAAGTGCAGAGCCAGCAGGATCAGCCAGCCCCAGCAGCTCCTCCCCTAACCCTCAGACTGTAGACTTGGCCACCACCAGCAGCGTTCAGGAGGGTCCGGCAGCAGCTGATCTCCTTAAGCCCGCCACTTCCGAATCTGCACCGTCCTCCTCAGGAATTCCCAAGGATGCCGACCCTCGGACTCCAGAGGAGGCAATGGAAATCCAGTCCAGGAGTCCTGAGGCTCCCGAAGAATCCAGATCCAAGGAGGCCGTCTCGATCAAAGCTTCAGATCAGGAATTCGGGCAGAATGCAGGGAAACCTGAGGGTGATGATGTGACTGTGGACACTTCAGAGGAAGAACCGGTTCAGATGGAGGAAGAGAAGAAAGAGGACGAGGGGTCAGGCCTCTGCCTTGCCCTGTCTCAGAGCCAAGCATTTTCTCCAGAGCCAATGGAAGAAGAGGAATCTTTCCCAGCACCAGAGGAGCCTAGCATCCCAAAACGGGACAGTCCCCCAGGGGTGGAAAGGCAAAGTGTTGGGGATGGAGAGGACGTTCCCAGCAGTGTGATAGTAATAGAGGAGAGTGAGAGGGACTTCCAGAAAGAAGACGAGGAGGTGACCCTACAGCCCAACAAGGCACAAACTGTATCGTCCCAGCCAGTGATCCTGGATTCCTCTCAGGACTCTGCCAATGTTCCTGATATTCCAGATAATGTTCAAGCAAAGGGAACAAAAGTGGATATGATGGGAGACAAGTCTGTACCTTCTAGTAATGGCTCCGTGCACCAGGCCTCTGAGAAATCCTCTGAGACCAACGAGGCAGCAGAGCGTACAGACAAGGTGGTGGACACGAGGTGTCCTGGAGAGCTGGAAAGTCAGAGTGCAGAGAACTCTGCTGCCAAGAGCCTGAGTGACAGCTCTGGGGGTATGTGCTTCTTATATGTGTGCCTTGATTGACCTGGTTCAGCCAGCTCAAGACAAATCCTCACGTGTAACTTTCTAGAGATTAAAAGAAAGTTGTCTGAGACTTGCAAAAGTTCTTTTAAATTTTTCACATTGATTTTGTCTTTGTTTTTCTTAGTTCAGCTCCTCCAAAGATATGATTTGGTCACAAATCTTTACATATTGCTAGAATAAACTGGATGTTTTTCATAAATCACAGCTATGTGATTGGAGTGTTTTAATACATATGCTGCTGAGTTTTATGGTACTCTTTTGTCTTGTCCTTTAGAAATCCCGTTTCACTTTACTCTTCCCAAGGAAGGAGAGCTGATTCGTCCAGCAGCTACTGCCACACCCCCCCCAGTTGACCATCTTAAACTGACTCCCCGACACAGCACTCCTATTGGTGAGTTTCCTTTAAATTATGCCTCCATTAAACTCCATTATGCCTCAGTTTAACTGCTTTCTAACATTCACATATACCTGACCTACCTGTGGTAGAGGTGACAGCATATCTGTTCTGTGAGCATTTAAGTATAGTAATTGGATTTGGAGGTTTATCTTCTCAGGACAAGTTATTTCATCGTAAAAATCTAAATGGATCTCTTATTGATTAAAATTCGGATCCATGATGACATAATGCAGGGTTTCGTACCTCTGGATGTGCCTTAAACAAATTGTTGTTGTTTTTTTTTAAACTGCGTTGTGAGCGTCTTAAGTGTTTCTGGTTATTTTCTTCTGCAGAGGTGGGGTCATGTTCTGTCAGAGCTGCAGTCACTGGTGATGTCAGCAGGGAGACAGCCATGACCACCAGTGACATCATGGCAGAGGAGAGTGGCGGAGATGGGGTCACAAGCGATTCAGCCTTCGCGGTGGCAGAGCGTGATGCAAAACTGAGCCTGAGGATGAAGCTGGTGACCCCAGTGAATGAAGAGAGCCCAGAGTCGGCATGTTTCAGTCTGCAGAGTACGATCTGGTGTCGCAAGGCTGACAATTAATGTTGTGAACGTTGAATGTGACATTTTGTTTTATGCTCTACAGTTTGGAGTGTAATACACTTTTAATTATCTTTGTAGTGTTTAAAAACACCACAAAGAAATTACTCAAGTCCTTTTCCCATCCTTGTCTAGTTATTTGCCACCTGAAAAGATATTGGTGATCAATAATGTCTCTGAATGCTCCCTTAGCCGTACTGAAAAATAAATTGGTAAAAGAAACTCACATGCAGCTGGCAGTTCCTTACTGCAGCTGTTACATAATTGTTTACTTACATAGTGGTAATATCTGATGCTCAGCTTGAGTGCTTTTCATTAATTTTCTTTTTGTTTCCAGAACCAGCATTATCTGAAGAGGAAGTCTCTGTTGCCACGGCTACCACTGTTGCTAAGGCTGTAACCAGGTAACCTGCCACTGTTGCTAGGCATGCAGCAGCTTATTAAGAAGGGCTCCATCAGTGAGATGATTCCAGGGTTTGTCCACTAATTTTAGCCAATGATTCAATCTTGCTGAAAGCAGGATTTCATTTAGACATTTGGCTAGACTTATCCCTGGTGTATAATACACTTTTAATTGAAATACCAATTTTCCCTGAATGTTTCATAACATGGATGAGGTTATTAAAGGCTGGACACTGTTCCGTATTAAATGGAGTTTCCTCCAGTAATGTCAGTTCCCTGGACGCTGAAGGCCCGCATAGAATAAGACCGGTCAGCACTGGAATGTGTCACCTTCAGAGAAACTGCAAGTTGATTTGAAACAAAGTGTAAAGTTCCTCTCCCTCCTGCTACGTTCTTATTTTAAATTATCCAAACATTTTTTTTTTGCAAAAAGTGAGCAAAAAGCGGCCTTTAAAAAGGCTACAATACACATTGTGCCAGCATTGTTTTAGAGGTTCGGTTGGCATTGGCGATAACGAGCCACTCTCTGTCAGACGGCTGACCGTGCTCTCTGCCTTCTCAGCCCCCTGCGGAGCCCGTCGGTGTTCAGCCGTGTGTGTGAGGTCCGCAGGCAGGTGGAGGCAGCGGGGAAAGAGAGGCCCAGAACCCCCACCAGGTACAGTGCTGCCTTCCCCTCCTGCCTTTGAAGACCTGAAGTCGCACAGAGGCTTATCTTAGTTCTGTCAGCCACACAGGAAGCCCGTTGCAAGATTCTGATTGGCTCCTGTGCCATCTGCTGTTGTTTTTGAAGAATTTTAGCAAGAAATACTTTGGCACTTTCAAAGCATTGTTACTGTTTCTCAGTGTTATCTTAGCTATGCATCCTATTATTGCTCATTACTGCCAGTAGAAATTCTAGTATTGTGAAGCTCTTGCTTAGAATCTGTTGCGCTAAGCTAGAAATTCAAACCACACTTTTCATTCTACATTTTTGACCCTCTAACCATTTGTTTTTCATTCAAATATGCAGTTATCTCAAAGTTATCTTCAGCATTTGATTAGACCATTTACATCTTACTAGTTCTGCTCACTCTGGTGCAGTGATGACCTTCTGCGGTCTTTGGAAAGTATATTTAAACCTCCCAAGGTGCACCACATCTTTAGAAACCTGTAAGTAGGTCCTGGAGTGGCTTGGCTGTGTCGTCAGCATGGTTGCTGTTAGTTGTGCTAGTGCCTGACCCACTTGTGAATTTTGGTGCTTGGACTGAGGTGCTATTCTGAGCTCCAGCATTTCTCCCCAGAGAAGAGGAGAAGCAGCAACTGGATTTGTTTTGCTGCAAAGTCACTTCAAGGTTTTTCTCGGGGATCTCTAAGTCATAGCTCTCCTCCTCTCTGGCTGGACTGAGTGTGTGTCAGGACCCAGCTGTAAATAATTGTCCTTATATAATAATTTAACTCTTTGCCGGCCAGCTGGCTTGGCACATTGTGTTCCCAGCATGCCCAGACAAGATGGCTGCCAACATCCAAATGAGTCTGACCTGCAAAACAGCTGCTCTCTCCCTCGCGTTAATTGCCAGAGAAAATCAATTGAAAACTGAAAAAGATTGCAAACAAGAGGAAGTTGTTTAGTTTTTCAAGAGTTTTTGCTAGCAAATAATTGAACTGAAGATCTCATTCAGCAGGTTCTCATTTTTATTCTAAAAAGAATTACATCTTCCTTTTCAGTAAGGATTGCATTGTATACCTAATTAATTAAATTATGCCACTGTAATTTTACATATTTTTTCTGGGCCATGCCTAATAAATGACACGAAAGGCTAAATTCACAGAGTCAAAACATTGTTTTACTTAGGCTAAGGTAAAGGTTTATTCCATACTGAAAAGAAACACAATGTTTTGGCTATGGAGCCTTCTTCAGGTGTTCTACTTAGGTCTACTAGCTAACAAGTACAACTATGAAAGGATTTTTTAACCTTGTTGTTGACTGGTTTCTAAAGGAACAACACATTTAATAACAGCTGCATTGATACCAAATAATTCCACAGTTATGTAAATATCATAATTTACAAATTGGAAATTATGATTGCTGCCACATACGTAATGTAAAATAAGAGTTCTTTTGGGAACCGAATCAATAGACAAATATAAATAAAATAGTGCCGTGGTGTGTTCAGACTTGAATGACACCTTTTCATTAATACTAGGAAAACAATTTTGAAAGAAATCTAATTGAAACACATCCAGGTAGTTTCTTGCAATAAACATATTTATAATAACGCCCGTTGCCGTTTTAAGTGATGCTGTGAGCATGAACCATTTGTTCTATCTGTTTGTTCTGAAATTTTCCACTCCAACCCTTTCTTGCTCCTTAACTATAATGCTTCAGCTTGTAAAATCAAGATCTGTCCCTTCATTTAAAAAAACAATGAGATATCAATGAACCAATAAGTGTATTTTAATTAATGTAAATCTTTCTACCCAACAGCAGGCTAAAAAAACAAGTTATAAAATCTAACAATTTTGAATCATTGTTTCTGTTGACTTTATTGCAGTGTACGGTGTAGAACATTTTTTGGCTGAGCTGCGTGTTTCAACCCAGCCTGTCTGAAAGCATATATTGCTTTCAACAACATGCTGATAAAGCAAGGTGCTGCTTGGCAATTATCAGAATTCTTTATTATTTTATTTTGCGCTGAGCTGTCTTTCCATTCTGAATCAACGTGCCATGAAGCATATACAGTTTTAGTTGAATATTTAAGAAGATTGAGCTGTAGAATAAATGCCTGAAGTCCAAACTCCTGGATCTAACAGTTCTTATGAGAGTGAGTGCGCGTGTATTTATTAACGGCTAAACACGTGTAGATTACAGAACTGCTCAGGATCATCCACCATGTTGAAGACCAACAGGGTGAAGTGTGTGTTGTTCGCAGTGTGCTTGACAGCAGCTGTGTTGTTGCAGAGGAGGCCTGTCGGAAGAGGGAGAGCCGGGTGAGGAGGGACAGAAGGCACTGCCTCTTCGACACGTGCCCTGTAGCCGTGCCCCCCAGGAGTCCGACCAGTCCTCGAGCCGCCCGCCGGAGGAAGAGGCGGGTCAGGGAAGCTCGGTCCGGCAGCGGGCACAGCGGCTCAGCGTCCGGGAGAAGGAGATCCAGACAGACGCTCTGGCATCTGGGCGGCTGGAGGAAACTGCGACCCAGACAGAGGGCAGACCGGGGCTGGCTGAGGAGGAGGAGGAGAGGTGTAGCGCCACCGTGCAGACTGACAACGCCAGCAGGGCCCTGCTGAGGCAGAGAGCAGTGTCCCAGCAGACCAGCTTTGATGCCACCGGCACCCCCACTCTTCCTAGGAAGGTACCGGAGCAGATGTAGCGTATAGGGCATTTTAAGGTTGTTCAATTTTGTTACTGACGGATACGATCAACAAGGTTTCCTTTTCTATTGGTTATTGAAATGTATTTTAGTATTCATTTTTTGATATCCTGTGGACCTTTTTATATACTTTTGGTAGAGGCAGGATTTTTCTAACTGCCCCAAGGTGCAAAGTGAAATACATTCAGTTAAACATGTCATTCTACTGTGTCAGCATAGACCTGTGAGTGAAACTATGAGACTTCCGTGACGTATATGGAGCCGTGCGTTAATGTAACATTTAACAGCACTTTTCTCGATTGGAAAGATCATTATGTTGAGTGTTGGTAATGAAACGATGATGGAGCAGCTCTTGGACAGAGGGTGCAAGCAGTTGGATACATTGTAAGAGGTCTAAAATGAACCTGTTATCAAACCTTTTCAATCCAGTGTTTGTAACATCCTCGCTCGTTTTCCAGCTTCAGCAGAGGGCGGTGTCCCAGCAAACCAGCTTCGACGCTAGTGGGCCCCGGCAGGTAATGAGCAAGGTACTGGAGCAGGGACTTCATTAGTAACGCATGCTGTCTCAGTATATAATTACAGTTTGAGTATTTTGTTTTGTTGAAGTGCGCGTTATATCTTGTGTTTCTATGAATACTCTCTTGATAATTACAATGTGCCATTTTGTGACTGGGTCTATGATGTTTTGTGGAATGAACACCAGCCATCTAAAGACCGCAATGATACTTTGAAACCCACATGAGTAAAGATGCCTAACGAGCTGCACATGGGCATTTAAGATGTATTTGGACCAGTTCCTACTCTTTTGAAATTGTGGATGAATTAATGATTAAGTTCATTAGAGTCTTGTTTTAAAAAAAAAAATCAGTTCTGTTCAGGTAATTTGTCATACGAAGCGCAGTGAAATGCTTATTTGCATGTAAGCTCCAGTACAATGACATTAAGGAATCGCCAAACAGAAACGGAGAAGAGCAGCAGCAACAATAACGAAGTTAAATAACGTACAACTTAAATACAAGTTAGCACCAGCAGTGTTGGGGGAAAAAAATAACCATCAAAAAAAATTTGCAACACAAATTTAATCAAGCTAGAGGCTGAGTTTGTTAGGGTGAGTGATAATGGGGACGGGGGGCTTGTGCGTCAGGTCTGAGGTGTTGCTCTGTATTCCAGGGAGACCCCGAGTCCCCCCCTCCGCGACCCCCTCCGGGGCAGTCAGTCCGACGGCATGTGCGGACGATTCGGGAGGTGCGCACGGTCGTGACCCGCATCATCACCGATGTGTATTACGAGGACGGGAAGGAAGTGGACCGCACTGTCACGGAGGTGAGGGCTGTGTGAGACTTGCACCGTAAGAAAGCCCTGCAAAGCAGTCCATAGGAACTTGTCTACGCTGTTCCAATCTGGCTGTTCATTATGAGGTGCCGTGGGGCATCGCTGATCGCGGTGTGTGTGCCTCAGGAATCGGAGGAGCCCCTGGTGGATTGCCGCGTGGTGGAAAGCGACCTTTCCCCATCCCGTACTGCTGGCTCCATGACCTCAGGTGACCTGGGTGACGTCAGCTCTCTCTCCTCCAAGACGCCCAGCCTCCAGCGCAACTCCAGCGGGGCCAGCAGTGGGGGACCTGGTCCTGCCAGGAGGATGGGCACCGAGGATGCCACCAGAGGCTTCATCATGCCACCTCACCGCGAAGCCTCTGCCAGGCTCGCCAGGTAACTCTCCTTTGTGCCTCCCCTCTCTCCTCTTCTCCCCTGTCCTTCTGTCTCCCTCCCCACGCCCCACAGAGGAGTGCTCTTTCACCTGTCTGCCCTTCTCTGTGTCATCACACTTGTCTCCTCCTCTGTGCCATGTTTTTAATTCCTGCCCCCCCAGCTTCCTGCTGCCTTTCCGAACTCCGTGTGTCTTTAATCTTTCACTCATGAGGTGAGAGAGAATTAAACATTAAGTTTTAGGATTAATCAGGAAGTGCAGAAACCTGCTTTTCCTTAACAAATCGTCCTCACTGAAGTCCGAAGGCGAGCATGTTGTTAGCGTGGCGGAAAGATGATCTTCCCACAGTTTTGTGACGCAAGCTGGGCTGGTGTGCGACGAGGGCAGGCAGCTCAGGACTAGCACAGCGCACAGTGTCCATGCAGTAAAGAACAAAGACACCACGGTCTTATTGAGAACAGCCTCACGGGTAAGAAAGGTAAATGAATGAGCCCAGCACACCAAGAACAAACTATATTTAGATTTAGATCAAACTTTTCCCACTCTGAAATCACAAACAAAACACTACCAACTCAAATCCCACACGGGAACCAAGAGCCCAGCCCAGCCCACCTTGGTGATGAAAGCCTCGTCTCTACCCACTGCTGTTGGCCACCTGCGCAGACTAGACCCAAGGCCTTTCCTGCAGGGTGTGCGCTCTGACCCCTCTCTGTCTGTCTCCCCAGCCCCCGGAAGGCATGTGGTCAGCAGCAGGGGGGCTCAAATGGGCCAGGTGGGTCCAGGGGGACAGAAGACAGAGCGAGAGAGCTGGAAACAGGGCCCCTCACCCCCTTAACACCCCGTGGAAGGGCGCGACGAGGCAGGCCTACGTCCCGCACCCCTTTCTCCAGGTGAGACCTATGAGAATAGGAGGAAGGAGCCACACGGCATCTCCCTTGTCACACCTGTCAGCACACTCGGTAACCTGTGGACTCATTCTGCAGATACCAGAACTATACCAGTTCTATAACCGAGTACAAACGTGATCTGAAGCCTTGAATCTCATTCATATGTCTGTATTTCAACCTGGTGTGCACACTCTTTCTCCCCGTGTCTCTCCACCTTTTTACTTTTATTTCTGTAATTCACATCTGTTTTCTCTGAACTGTTATTTTGAAATCTATGACTTTGTCCACCAGTGCGACGAAGGGATGCGTCTTGTTCAAGCTAAGAGCACCAAGTCAGTGATTAGCAGCTCGGGATGGGTGACCATCTGTATTTTCCTCCCGCTTTCCGCAGGGAGTGTGGGACCCCCACATCAAGGGACAGTGGCCAAGGTCTGCCCAGCTCGTCCTCCGAGGATGAGCCCTATAACCAAATGTGTGCCCATGTGTCGGAGAGCCCTCCTGAGCACAGGCCCCTGCGACGCTCTAACTCCCCCGAGTTTGGGGTGCTGCCGCCCCAGTCTCCTGACACCGGAGGGGGAGCCAGCAGCTTTGTGGGGCTGCGCGTCGTGGCCAAGTGGTCCTCCAATGGCTACTTTTACTCCGGCTGCATCACTCGCGACTCGGGAGCGGGCCGGTTCCGCCTGCTCTTCGACGATGGCTACGAGTGCGATGTGCTGGGCAAGGACATCCTGCTGTGCGACCCCATCCCACTGGAGACCGAAGTCACGGCGCTCTCCGAGGACGAGTACTTCAGTGCAGGTGAGCCGTACTCGCACAGAGCCCCCCGAGCCACGTCCACTCGCACCCTTTAACTCGTTCCGTTTTTCCCCACGTGGAAATGTGTTCAGTGCTGGTGAACACAAACCTTTCGCCTGACCCAGAGTGGTTTTATTGGCTGATTGACCAGAGTCAGGATACATCCAAATGCCTCTTTCCCATTTTGTGGGCAGTCAGTTGAACACCTTCAAGGGCATGTGCCTGCAGAAGGCAGAGCTTGAGACCCCAGCCTCTCCTGTGTGCCCTGTTGGCTTGGCTCTAGTCTGGGGAGATCAGTGAAGCCCGGTGACTAAGTGGTTATACTGTAGGAATTCAAATGATGCTTTGTTTGTTAATTGGAAGGAAAAGGCTTCTTTTTTTTTATTTATTTAAGTGCCCACCGCCTAAAAAAGGTCTGTGTTCCATTTGTATTTTTCCACTACAATGTGTGCACACCCCGAGAATCTTTCTGATCCTTCCCACGCAGGATTGTTCCTGTCTCATACTCGTACACTGAAATATGCACAGCCCTTGCAGGAGACACACGATGCACAAAGACAGGGTGAAAACCTAATAGGCAAACTCCAGCAAACAGGAAAACGAGAGTATCAAGGAGTGTGGAACATGTTTTCCCCCTTGAACCTGAGAGGTTAAGAGGTGCTGTGTGGTTCCGTGCAATTGCTCCGACTTTAGACTTGCACTGTGTGCTGTCTTTTTTTCAAGCCACACAGCCCAGTACTGAAGTGCTGCCTTTTCATCCAGTGAGATGTGTCCCAACTCCTTTTCCCATGTGATTGTTACGCCCACACAGGTGTGGTAAAGGGGCATAAGAAGGAGGGCTCTGACTTCTTTTACTGCGTGGAGAAGGATGGCCAACGCAAGTGGTACCGGAGGATGGCGGTCATACTGTCACTGGAGCAGGGCAACCGGCTCAGGGAGCAGTTCGGCCTGGGCCCCTATGAGCCCGTCACTCCCCTCACCAAGGCCTCTGACATCAGTCTGGGTAAGGCAGGAGCAGGAACAGGCCTGCTGAGGGCCTGGCTGACTTGGCTTTCTTCCTGGCTCTGCAGAATATAAGTCTCCAGTGGTTTATCTCCAGATGATATTAAGTTTCTTTACGTTGTCTTTGATATGAAAAGTTTATTTACAAAATACATTGACAGGATTATACAGTAAGTCGTAGGTTATAAAGTGCTATTTGGAAGGTGTGAGTCTATGAAAACTGAAGAAAATTGAGAGCGAATCGCATTGAAATTGTGAAGAAGCAGAAGTCATGGGCAAGAATAATTTGGGTTGATGGGCCTGGTGGAAATTATTCCTGGGCACCGCTCTGTTTAGTAAGAGTTTGTGCTCTCTGGAGATGTAGTGCTCTGAATAGCAAACTGGGGCAGTATTGCGATGGCACTTGAGGTCTTGGTCTTCAACCAGAGTTTCACCGCTACAGATAACCTGGTGGAGGGGAAGCGGAAGCGCAGAGGGAACGTGGGGGCCAGTGGGACCCCCACCCGCGGGCCCAGCGAGAGCCCCAGAGCCCCCGGCAACACAGGCAAGAGGAAGCTCATCAACGCTGCTGAGGAAGACAAGTGTCCCGCCAAGAGAGGGCGGAAGTCTGCCTGTCCCAAAACTGGTATGGACACCCCACCCAGAGAGGAGGGAGATAAATGACAATGACTGACCCCATCCCTCCCCCTGCCCTATACATGCCCTCCCCTTCGTTTTAATTGTTGAAAAGAATCAGTGTGAACTTTTAAGACTATGAAATAATCACATTTTCTTGTTTCTTTTATATCTACATATTTATGCTTTTATCAATAAAATGGATTTGATTTTACATCCGGTCTGATTTTTTTTCCCTGTTTCATAGTTCAAGTGGAGTTGCAGATCTCCACTGAGTCACGCTAATGTAAAACAAAGGCACTGTGTAGTGGAGCTTCACGAGGGGTTAATACATCTGCAATTGTAGGACCAGCACAAGATTTATTTAGCTACACTTTAAGTGTGAAAAAAAAAGTGATACTTTCTTCTCTTTTGGGATTTTGCCTTTGAGCCTGTTTTTGTAGGCCTATATATTCATGTGAAATTAAAAATACATATTGCTGGATTTTAGAGGGGAATGGGATGAATCCGTATTACTTTCTGCTTCTGCACAGAACGAAACTTAAGCTTGCATTGGAGAAAGACAAAAAAAACAAAGACAAATGAAAAATACTTTAAAGACATATGTACGTACGATTTGTTCATACACCACTAAGGTCTGTTTGAGTAAAAATGTGTTATAAAGTCATTCTTCAAAACAAACACGGCACAAAAAAACAGGTTAACATCAACCCCACCTGAGTGTTGATATTTTCGCAAGTGCATCATTAACCATTATTAATTTAGTATGGATAAAATATCAGGTTTGAGTTACAAAATGTTTTGCCTATAGCGTCTAACATATGACATCGGATAGAATTCAACTCATTTCTTGGGTGTGGATTATAATTAAGGATTTCTGGAAAGGCAGTTTGCTTTTTGTCTTTTCACTGCAATTCTGAAATCGTGTTTGGATGTCTTATTTCTAAAGTGTATTGCAAGTGTTGCTTCCTGTCATCTACAAGGGAAAACATTTTTGTGTTCATCTTGCCCTTGATAAATTCTTGTTAACCTCTGGTCCTCCTTTTCCCTTCTCTGCAAAAATGGTATGTGACTCATCTGTTCTCATTTTTAGGTACTTTTTGTGGAGCATCTGTAAGTCCAATGCTGTGACTGTTTGCATGTGAGGAAGTGTTATGGAAGTGGGGACAAGTCACAACTCACTGAAAAAAGAGAGCCAGTTCCATTCTTGGGGGTTTGCTGTGTGTCCATGTTCTCTCCAGTCTTGGATGCCTGTCTATATACTGGTTAAGAATAGACAGGTGCTTTGTTTTTGGCTCACAATTTGGTGTCACCGAACTCCTATCAGGGAAGCACATACTGTAAGATGACTCCCATTGCACAGCAGTTGATTGATGATCCATTTCAGGTTTAAGCTACCTGTAGGCTCTTGTGCCAATTGCACATAGCAAACAAAAGCATAGCACAACATTTCCAGTATTATTTTATTTTCATGTGTCTGGTTATGCAGATTCATTCAAGATGGCTTATTTGTAGCTGTTGCTCTAGGCTTATGTACTGTGTTTGCAGCTCAAGTAAACTGAAATAGATCTTGCTGCATTGCAATGGGAGTCCTATTTGGTTCCTTCTCATACTCCCCTCAGAGCCCTTAAGCAGACGTGCTGCAGATTCCTTTATTTTCTCTTGCCCCCTTCCTCTCTCTCCAGGGCGGCGTGTGGAAGCATGCAACACCTCCGAGAGTGGCGCCGAACTGCCCTCGGACCCCGCTGAGCTGGTGGAGACCCATGGGCCTCTCCCCCAGAGCGCTACGCTCTTCCTGGGCTACGCCTTCCTGCTGACCGCTTCTTCGGAGAGCGACCGTGAGACCAACCAGCCTGGCAGCGAGGGAGAAGAGGGTGAGGCAGCCTGGTACAGCCACCAGAAGAGGCTCCATTTTTTTTTATCTGTTTTCACCATAAAAATAGTCAATTTTTTCAAAAAACCCTTTGAAGATCTACATAAGGTTCTTTTATGTTTTAAAGAGCTAAAAGCCATTATGTTTTTTTTTTTTCTTGTGATAGCAACTCAGGTTAGGATACTGCAGTCTCCTCTATCAGCTTTGTAAAGAAAGTAACTAATCTTAAATTAGTATTGGAGTAAAACAGCCTCAGCACGCTAGTGCACCTTCCTCGAACAAAGGTAGCAAAATTAGTTCACATGGCTGCGTTATCAATCCCACATAAGTCACCTCTGTATGTGTCCAGTCAGCATGCATAGATAAAAACCCTAAATGGAGAATGTTGCCGTTTCCTACAACACTGCTGCACTACTGGGACAATTCCACCACTGTTTTCCACCAATCACCAAAATAGTGAATAGTGCTTAGTGTGAAATGAGTTCAAATTCAGACCACAATGCAGTAAATGGAAGAGGCGTGGTGTGACATGTTCGTTTTTGTTGACAGAGTATGTGCAAACAGCCCCTTATAACAAGCACTACACAGAAAGCCAGCTGAGAACGGGAGGGGGCTACATCCTTCAGGACTTCAATGAGGGACAGGTGAGTGAGGGCAGGCGGTGCAGTGGCTCTGAGGCTAAGGATCTGCACCTGTGGCTGGAAGGTTGCCGGTTCAAATCTCGCAGCCAGCAGAGGAATCCTACTCTGCTGGGCCCATGAGCAAGGCCCTTAACCCCAGCTGCTCCAGGGGTGCCGTATAAATGGCTGACTCTGCACTCTGACCCCAAGCTTCTCTCTCCCCGTCCGTGTGCCTGTGTGT